TCTCGAGTAAACTAAAATGGAGATGTGTGAATTTTAGTTTATTTTAACTTAGGTTAGGTCTTATTACATTATTTAAGATTACCTGAGTTGTTGGATTTAGGTAGGGGCTTATGATTTTCATTTGAAAGTAACCATAATAATGGATCTTATGGCCTCTATTCGAGGTGGCCCAATGATTTTGAATATGGGTGGGTCTTATGAATTCTATTAGAAGTAGCTTGAAGATTTTTTTATTGGATAAATCTTATTGATTCCATAGAAGTTACCTAACGACGTGTCTTATGACCTAGCTTTATAAGTTATGTAGCACATATGTTACTTGCCATTTTTTACTTTGACTAATATATGATTCAACATTGCTGTAATTAATATTTTCTTTTTCTTTTCAAATATTTTTTGTATTCCATTATGCATTTCTACTTTGAATAAAATCATTACTCTAAAATATCACCAAAATATTATTAGATTATTGTATATTTTCAATTACAATAATGAATAAGAATATGATCTATTTTTACGATATTTTTTATGGTTGCATTGATCTTTTTTTTCCTACCACATCCTTCTTGCCCCTCTTGTTATACGTTAGGTATAAGATTCACCAATATATATAAATTTGAACAACCACTATGATATACTTTTACACAAAGTTAGTTTTGATTAGTAAGAGACTTTACCATTAAATGATTAAATTGATCAAATATATACGGGCTAGAATATATGCAGCGATGGAGTTATAATATTTGGTCTTAGCATTGTACGAATATCCAACTCAAAAAAAGAGAACACAAGATTTTTTACGTTAAAAGGCCTGGAAAGGAGAAAAACCATAGGGCCTTTCCTAGTTGAAATGATTCCATAAGTGTTTAGGTAAATTACAATGGGCTGACTCATCCTTGAGGGTGATAAATTACAAATGTCAACCATATGTTTGAAATATAAAAACAAACAGTGATGAAAGTTCTACATCACTTGGTGGACTAGCAGAAGTTTGACGTTACTTGAAAATTCAGGTTTCAATTGGTAGCTTAGTGGTGGTTTGGCAGTACTTCGGCATCAACTAGTGGTTTGATAGAACTCTGGCTTTAGGTGGTGGTCTGGTATAATAATAGCATTAAGTGATGGTTTGGAAGAAGTTCGAGCCTCAAGGAATGGTCTGACAGAAGTTTAGACCTCAGATGGTGGTCCGACAAAACTACAAGCATTAAGTGGTGGTCCGAAGGAACAACAATGATAGGTGGTGGTCCGATAGAAGTTTAGGCCTCAGGTGGTGGTCCAGTAAAACCCAAGGAATCAGGTGGTAGTCTGGCAGAACTCCATGCTTGAGGTGGTGATCTGACAAAAATTCAAGCTTCAAGTAGTGGTTTGATAGAAGTATGGACCTCATGTGGTGTTATGGCAGAACTCTCAGCCTCAGGTGATGGACTGGTAGAATAATAGTGTGAGGTGCTGATTTGGAAAAACTCCGAGCATCAAGTGGTGGTTCGGCAGAAGTCCGGGCCTCAAGTGGTGGTCCTATAGAAGTCTGAGCCTTAGGTGGTGGTCTAGAAAAATTCTGGGCCTCAAGTGGTGATCCGATAGTGTTGAATCTTGTCGATATACAAAGCAAGTTAATTAAAGTTTTTAAAATAACTTTTCAACCAGAGAAAAAATAAATTGCAATAAATAAATGTGAAAATTTAAACGACATAAAAATTTATAGTGGTTCAGTTAAACACGACCTACATCCACTCCCTGAAGACTCCCTCTTCAGGTATTGCACTATTATCAAAAGTGTCTCTCCATTTTCCCCCACAGCAAGGAGAAAAGGCCTTTATAAAAGTCTTTTTCTCCAATCTCCGGTGTCACAGAGAACCATAATCCTTTCAAACACTCCAAGTGTCGGTAGAGAACCATCTTATGTTCACACTCTCCAAGTGTCAGCAAAGAACCGTCGTCTGTTCAAACTCTCTAAGTGTCGGCAGAGATATGCCATATGTTCACATTCTTCAAGTATCGACAGTGAACCGAATCTTCTTCAAAGATCTTCCCACGAGCAATCTGGAAAGACAAGAGAAAGAGTGAAAAACACAAATCACATAGAGATCGCTACATTTGAGTAACTTGGTGAACCTTTCATAGTCCACTACTAAGAAATCTCTCTCACACTCTCTTCTTCAATTGCCCATGAAAAACCACGAAGACAAGATTTTTACGTCAGTTTTAAATAAACCCTTAATACAAAAGACACAAAAAAACCATCTAGAAAATTGAAGTTTTTAATTTTGAGCGTACAAGATCATTTAGTACGACCAGATTTCGTACGTTCGAATAGTTTAAATACTATTTTGTACGAACATGTTATGAGTCGGTACAAAATCATTTCGTACCCGATCATCATCCGGTCAGAACCAAGTTCATCATCCGGTCAGAACCAGGATGCCCTAATTAGGGTTTCTGTTTTTAGTCGAATCGTCCTAGTCAATATGTATATCGTCCAGGTCGATGTACTTAAAACAAAAAAATAACATAAAAACCCTCAAGTGTGTGTGTGCAAGGTTACTAAGCATCATGAACCACTTTCATAAATGACTCAAGAGAGGAAAAAATACAGACTTGACTCAAACTAAATCTCCCCAATCTTGAGCTGGCTTGAGTTGCATTCGATCTTCTGGACCTGAAAAGTTAGTAGGCAATGCAGTCGTAGAAAATCATGAATGTATGTTATCATCAAAAGACTAATCCATAAACTCAGATTTGCAACACCTCCTGGAGGAACCGATAGAAAATTTTTAAAATTCATCTTTACGAAAAGGAAACCCAATATTTCGTACTTTGGATGGCGTACGTATGATGTCGTCATCATCCAATATGATCAGTTATAAAAAAATTTCAAATTTTGTTTGAATGAAATGTAAGGATGAAATGGGACCATTCTCACAACAATAAAATCGTCCATTATCGACGAAATTTTACGGAGGATTTTCAGCAGACAATTTTCCATCAGACATCTAGCTACTTTCTGAAGGATTGCGATGAAGTACTTCCTATTGATTTTCTGGCGGCTTTTTTGACAGATTTGCAATATAAAATTATCGACTGATTGTCTGTCGGCTTTATTGGAGGATTTAAGAAATATTTCTAGCGAATTTTTCGGCGTCTTTAACGACGAATTTGCAAGGAAATATTTCCGATAGATTTTTCAGTGGATCATAAAAATCTCTAGCATCCTCATATATTTATAA